TCTCTCTCTCTCTCTCTCTCTCTCTCTCTCTCTCTCTCTCTCTCTCTGGTTGTTGTGCGTTAAATTTTCCGCTTTTGTTTTCATTTCTTCCGGCTTGAGTTTTCGGTACTGTCGTTCTGTAGATATAATATAGAAATCGTGGCAGCATCGCCCGATGGCCGCTTTTCCATTGCGATTTTTCCCGGTTTGCTTTCGAAGACACAAATTGGTGCAATTAAGTAAAAGTATTCGTTTTCTTTTTTTTCGCCTTTTCTCCTTCGTCTCATTCTAATTATGCACATTGTACATTATACCTTCGTCGCACTTGGCGCACATTGGCAGCGACAGCATGTAGTCACGATGCCAAAAACGTAGTCAGCAAACAACATTTAGTTACTCAATCTCTTTCTCCGGCCCCATTGCAAGATTCAAATCGAGACGAAAATTGTTTGCACATCCAACTTGAACGCGAATTTAAAATATGCTCACGCTTATTTTCAAATAAAACAAATGTACCACTTCATTTACTCTCTTTCGTTCGCTTAAGAATCAATGGAGAACGGGGGGTGGGAGGGGGCACAGAGCAGGCTTGCTTTGTGTTATGTTTGACAAGGGATTCACTTGCCAACGCATGCAGCTAACGATTTTTGATATGATTTTAAGGTTAATTTGATTCATGTCTTGTTCTTGTTGTGCTCCAATTATGTGTTTTTTTCCTCTCCATTTTTTCCTCTGCTTTGGATCAGGCAAAATATTTCAAGTAGAGTCTGCTTTTGGTGTGGCTTTTGAGTCCAGAATTGGTGTACGAATATTTGAGAATATTGTACACAAAGTAAAGTCAATCTTCAACGGGAAAATGAATATTTTAATTTTTCAAGCGTCGAGAAAGTTTTGTTTCAAAAATCTGTTTACTTTACTGTCACTGTTGAATATATATCCCAATCAGACTGTATAGCGGCCGTATGAATGCTGTTTCAAGTTTAGATAAAACTTGACGCTGCAAAGTGTGAGGTAGATTCAATTTCAATTGTGTGTAACAATTATAGCGAATATTAAATTTTAAGATTCTCATCGAAATGGAGAAAAGTTATCTATTTACTTTTTTTATGTTAAGCATTTCAAAATGTATATAAAAGCGCTTCGCGCCACAAACCACTTGTGCAAAACACTTTGAACAATATCATAAAAATTCAGCGCAAAGTCGGATACATAAAAATCGCACTGAAAATTAACCGAGAATTTTTATTGTAAAGGTTGAACACAAGAAGAAGAAGAAAAAACCGCAATGAAAGCACCAACAACAAAACGAATCGACCGCCAACCGAGTGGCAATAAGTTGAAATATTTGCCACTTAAACTGTAAATCATGTCTCTTTCTCTCTTTCTCTCTCTCTCTCTCTCTCTCTCTCTCTCTTGCGTACAAAGAAACATTTCGGCTTCAGTTTCTCTCACTCTAATTCGGCTCTTTTTTAATGTTTCCCATCTTTTAATGGTGCGCCGATATCAAAGACCATTCATAACCTTGTCTCGGCTTGCAAAGGAACTGGCTGCAACTTCTGATCTGTATATTAATGTGCAATAAAATTATACATAAATATCAAGAAGAGAAGAAAAAACGAACCGTACACCAAATAACGGTGGCAAAAAAAGAATTATGAGAAAAGAAGTGAAAGCGCTCGATTGGGCTTCATTCAAGCAGCAACTTGACGTTCATACGTACATTAATGTACTTATTCTCTTTTGCCATTCTGCTGCCCGCCTGAGGTTCGCATGCACATTATGCTAAATATATTTGTTTTTGTATGCGTGTCGTTCGTAGAAATTGTAATTTTTTTTTTGTTGCTGGCTGTTGGTGTTGTTACTGTAAATTAAAGTGGCAAATTGCTTGTTTTTTTTTGCAGTTAAAGAATTTATGACTTTCACTTTGAATAATTTTTTTATTCATTCTTTATCAGCGATTGAGACAATAAAAGAAGCGCGTAATTAACCAATTAAATGCAAAAGCGCCGCGAAAAATTTTGCGTCATGTAAAAACTGGAGTGAACAACGAGAAGAAAAAAAAACAGACCATTATAACAACAAAAAACAACCCCTTTTTTGTCGAAGAAGAAAAAAAAATACACAAATATTTATTTTATCAGCATCATGCCATAACCATAATCATGAAAATAATTGGCAATCTTTTTTTCACTCAGCAGTTACCATGGGAATTCCAAAAATGACGCCATAAAAACATGGTTTTTCGGCTAGATTTCTTGGAAAACCTACACAATTTTTCTACACCTCTTCTATTTAGTAATGATGCGTTTTTATTTCGAAAAAGAATCGCAAAACAATTGAAAAAGAGTGAAAAATTGTTTACAAAACTTCGGTTTTTATTACTTAAAAATGTACCTTTATTGCTTTCTCCCAAAACGTCTAGCCTTCTTCAAGTGGAATCTGCCTCTGTAAATAGAAAGAAAAATACAATTTTTTTGTCGATTGCAACAATAAAAGTATGTTTTTTTTCTGCTTGAAAAAAATGAATCGTCTAATAAAATAAACCAATTAAAATGTCTTATTAGCACACAAAAAGGCGTACAAACAAAAGACTCCGCCGCACTCAAACAAATATTTCCATTTTGATGGCAAAGAAAGTGCACTTGCTTTGAAATGTAGCTCAAATTAATTATTCCGCTTCACATTTTTCCATTCCAACGGCGAATGCGTTTGTTGCAGAAATGCAATATGTACTCAAACAAACAAACAAACGGGTTTGAAGATGTATTCAAATGTCTTTGTATTGTAAAAGTGTATCGGTGAGGTCTTCTTAAAGAAAAAAGAAAGGAGAAGCACATACAATTGTTATTGAAACAATATTCTCTATATTTGTGCATAGTGACGAAATGATTTGGACAATTTAGTCTCTTAATGATATAATCCCGTGTGAAAAAAATGACTGACTGACTGGTTACCCAGTCGACTTTAGTCGTCTTTATATGTCATTTTAAACAGATGATCAATTTGGGACGTTTTTGTCTATGTAGTCAACTGCGATTGAAGTTGAATTAAGTTGTATTTTTCTCTACTAGGATTGACTGAAAAATCAGCCAAATCAACTTAAAACAACTTCAATATCAGTTGGCTTTAGCCAAAAACCCCTCAAATTTTCCACAAGGGAATACAGCTAAACAATACTGCACAAGTGAACCGCAATACTGCAAATAGCATTGAGAATATTATGTTCTATCTACTTTGTATGAAGCAGTGCCGGTAGAATTCATTTAATTGTGAAATTCCACAGAATCAGTTGCAATCTCAAACAAACATTGAATTCATTGAAATGAAAACCAAAGTCAAGACTTCAATTAAGATATTGACCATCAATACCGAATGTAATTGCGTTACCGTCCATGAGTCATGCAAATAATTAATGAGTAAATTCGTGAAATTGATAACTTGAGCAACATTATTGAATTCGAGGAATTATATGTTTTGAAATGATTCGAAAATTCTCTTTAACCAAACTCCAGAGTATTCATTGCGTGTTATTTCTGCTAGATTCAAATCTGGAACATTTTATTTATTTTGCGCTGCAAACAATAGCTATATTTTTGTATAACAAATAAAGCTCGATAGTAAAAGGCAGAGTATTGCTCAGCGCTGCTGCCATCCACAGCATATTAAAATATCTTGCTGAGAATGCGTCGTCCGTCGCATGCGAACGTACGTAGCAGTTTATACATCACAGCGAACAAGAATGAATCCATTGTTCTCTTCACGATTATGTGACTCAAAACATTCAAACGATTGAATAGAGCATGCATGTATTGTTGTTCGCTGTGATGTATAAACTGCTACGTACCTTCGCATGCAACGGACGACGCATTCTCAGCAAGATATTTTAATATGCTCTGGATGGCAGCAGCGCTGAGCAATACTCTGGTAAAAGGTGATGAGAAGATATTTATTCGTGAGAGAGGTTTGATGAAATTATGTATTATCAAAATAATGTAAAACAATGGATGTGGATATATGCATGCGTTGAGGGCATTTGTAGTATTGATTAAATTTCAATTGCGATGCATGTAATGAAATTAAATTATTGTTTTCGATTTCGAAAGTTTGAGAAGGGCCGTAGTTTATGTGTGCATACACAGTCTCTCGCACACGCACGCATACAATCTGTTTACTTTATGAATTGATTCGATCAGATTACGGTTACATATTTAATGGTCATGCTAATTACAAATATGGGGTTGTAAGTAAATTCAAACAGGTCAGAATTGGCGAAATGAAAATGTACAAATACACATATGCGAAACATGAAACACACATATTATAAAAACATCAATTGAAATTTACTGCAAATCATATTTACGAATTAATTTTGAATTTTTCCAAACTCACATAATGAGGCTTTCAACGAACAAAACACTAACAAAAAATATTCTATTTATTTTTTTATTCCTCTAGGTAATTTTGGCCAAAATAATCTTTGTTGGTGCATGTCAGTGATGTGGTTTTACAGTTTATTAAACGTAAAAAGCCAACGAATTTATTGAGTTGGAAATATTTTAATTTTGTTAATTGAATGGTCCTGTACGGTTAACATACCCGCCTCTTATGAAATGCACACAATTTAGTGAGCATCATTCATCCGTCAAATTTAATTTTCAAATGTTTTTTTTTTAAATCCTTTTATACTTTAATGAATTTGAAATCCATCAATCATGGCAAATGAAATTTTTTTAACAACTCATTTGAAAGGACGAGAAAAACCGAGAGAACAAGGGAGAGGAAGTGAAATTCTGTGTATACATTTTCATCGCATTTAAACATCAACATTTTGAAACAACTGTTTTTTTTTGTTGCGGTGGAGTCGGAAAAACGGTATGCAATCTGTTTATTTAAAAAATTTCATCGTGATCTAGTGACCATCCGTTGAAATACATTTATCAAATTGAAATAAATACATAATTGTGATTTTTTCTTTGTTCTTGTTTGTTTCATCTTCAAATGCTCTCGAGATTGTCAAGTTTCTTTATACATACTAGCTTTACTTCAATAATGCAAAATAAACAGTGTTGCCAATAGCAATGAATTATTACTTATTAATAATCATAATAACAAGTACAACCACTCAAATACCAGCACATTCTCAAGTTTTTGCGAGAATTTCGATGCACTCGAGTTGCATACGCTAAAGGTGCACCTCACCGACAATAAAAAAGCTTATGCAGTCGAAAAGTTATTACATTTACGAGTTGCGTATGTATATCACATACAATTTATTACTGCAGATATTATTATTTTCATTTCAACAATGTGTTATTCGGCAACATTGTTTGCACTAATTGATATGGTTGTTTGCGTTTACACTTTTGCCCAGTTTTAATGAAATTTTAACTCAATATTAAATTGAAGAGCATTGCTTTGACTTTGACTTATGTGGAATTAATCAATTCATCATGTCGATCGTGAAAACTGACATCAATACTGTTCATTTATTTTACTCTGTCAGTTTTCATTATAATAGTTCGATTTCGATACCGAATTCTTAACATATGTGACCAACCATTAATTGTAGGTGCTACCATTACATAGTTGCAATCAATTCACTGTTTTGGGATTATGTTCTACGCAATTTCGAGATCAAAATGAATTTTGGCGAGCATGCCTTTTGCAACAGAATAATTTCAAAATTTTCAATATACATTTTGAAGAATCAATAGTATTTTGGTGGTATCAATTCATATGGTATTTGATGGGTCGACGTCCAGTTATGAAATTAATGGGTTATATTGAAAACCACACATTGTACATGAAGATTTTTTCAATCAGATCAAATATCTGACAGATACCATTTGTATGATATTAAAATGTGAAAAGGAAGGGAGAGCATATTTGAGCATAAAGAAAGCATATTTGAGTTTATCAGAAAAATAGAGGTTGCCACTAGACAGAATGGACTTGTGGAAGATTCTATCGATATGCCAAGAATTTTTTATTGGAATTATTTGAATTTTGACCTTGCCTACGTATGAAAGGGGGAATGATGGAGATAGAGAGAGCGAGATTCATTAACTCTCAGGAAATTTGGAATAATAAACGCAGCACCTCTCTTTCAGCTCAGTCAGATGAATTGATTTTCTGCTGTCTGAAAATGTACAATTTGAAACGTATATGTATTCTATATCATGGTACTTCTTAATTGAATCAATCTTATTTGGTAATATTGAATGTTGTGAACATGAAACTTGAAATAATGAAATAATATCACATATCACAGCGATAAGCTGACGAAATGTGTCATTTGATTCCATTTGGAAATACAAGTAATCCTTCTCATTTAAATTAAATAAATTTTGTTTTCAAGTCTTTAAAAATGCTGCACGATAAATTCTGGAGCACGTTTCACTCCATCATTATTGAATGTTTTTGTTATTGACAGATTAGACCTCATTAACGTATATTTAACATGTGATAGAAAAATTTCGAAAATGGTTTATTTTTCGTATTGAATTCTCTGTGAGTCAGATTTAGAAAGAGACACAGCGAGTCATAAGCAGTGAATCAACGTCATCTAAATTGAATCATCATGTTTTCTGTAATTGAAGTTCTCATTAAAATGAACATTTCCACATCAGCAATTTTAATATTGTGCCGAGAAGAAAATTACCTTTTGGCATACAAATGCAGGCTTATGTATGCATGCAAAACAAGTGTACAAATACATGTTGCCATTCAATATATTTGAACTGGAAAAGTGCATGAAATTCTGAGTTGTGGGTAAATCACAAGAAAATCGTTTGTACTTTATTTGGCTGTGAGTCATATGCAAAAACATTTGCTTAATAATAATAGAATCCAACATACTCTCTCACACACACGTGCTGCATAATGTATGTAAAAATGCAATGTGCTGTCGAATGCAGACCAATTCGTTTCTTTCTCTTTCGCATCGATGGATTTTCAAAATATTTACTTGAATGATCTCAAAATTGTAGAAAATTCATTGACTGCCCTCCCTCTCTTCTATTCTGCGTGAATTGTGTGAATGTGTGTGTGTGTGTGTTTGCATAAATAAACGAATGTTTTTGCCCCATTTTTGTTGAATACATATTCTCTAATAGATGACGTGCTTGGATTTGAGTGGAAAAATGCGCAACTATCTCTCTATAAAATGTTGTCAGTGACTTCAACACGCTGACTGAAAAATGCATGGTATAGCATAAAATGTCACTTTTTTCCTCTCTCCCTCTCTCGCTTCATGCGAAGATGTTAAGCATTTCAATGTTTTTTCCATGACAGCATCATCAGCAACGATGAGGAAGAAGAACCAAGAAAAATGTAAGTGTATGCGAAATATAATAGTTGAAATATGCATAACATGAGTTGGTTTTTTCGTGTTCAAGCTTTCTTTTGAAATTTCAGTACTTGTTTTGCCACAGACAGGTGCAGTT